TGTAAGAGATCTTTAAAGGAGCAGGTGTAAAAATTTGACAACTGTTAGGTAAACTCATTTATCTCATGAACTGCTGGACCGATTTCAACCAATTTCGATAAATAAAATGTTTCTAACATTTCTGTTTAACACAACTACTTCTTATGTAAGTCAAATTTTAAATTTCCAGTATTCTATCTTAAGACCAAAAATTTTTCAAACTCAACAAAACCGGTTCAAGCCCCTAGGTACCGAATATTTGAACCCCCGTACCTATAGTTGGCTTTTACCGCAAATATCGGTCATTGTGTGAGATATATAATTTAAATTCAGGAAAATTTTATGTATGTGGCATATTAATAGTATACATGTTTTATTATACTAAGTAATATAAACAAATAAAAGATTAAGAAACAGTATTTTTTGAATTAATAATTTAATTACCTTGTAATTTGATAAGTTTTACGATAATAAAAACAACAAAACTGACCAAAAAACACGAAAAATGAATTATTCTAAAACTAAAAGTAAAATAATATTCGAAAATTCAAGTAAGTAAGTAAATTCAAAAATGTACTTTTTAACATCGCATAGCTTTTCCTTATCTTCGGCCAATTCTTTTGAACATCGTGGTATTGACCAACCTTCTTGTTACGGATGTGCTATATTGTACCGTTCTTTCATTAGTATCTGTGCAATTTGGGTTTTGCTAGTAAAATGGCGCTGTCTCAGTCTTATTTCTAAATGATCCTTTAGATTCTCTAAGGGATTTAAATCTGGACTTTTACTTTAATTATTTCAGGGCAATTGTATAAAAGCCAAAGCTTTGTATTTAGTGCGAGAGAATTGCATTTGTTTTGGCGGTCGACCGCAAAACTATTTATGGTAATTTATAACTAGTTTTAAAAAGTACCGCATGTATACTTTTCTGTGTGTTTGAAATAAATTTGTATACAATATTAGATCACCCGGTAAACTTCTAATCAGATATTCTAACTTTTTTATTTTAATTGTATTTTGTTTATTTCATATATGTATGTAATCATGTTATCAGCTCAATAATTTTACATAAACCAACACGCACACTTACACATTCAGCATACACTCTTCTGGTTATTAAACAAAGCTTGCTAGCAATTCAAATGAATACAAAACTTAAATATATTTACGTGAAAGAGTATGAAGAAAAGCACCTTGTAACAAAGTAATGGCTTCACCAAAAAATTATTTGAATGAATGCATTTGTAGTTTCCTCGCCATTGTGCTGTTATTGATTAGAAACGTTGAACATGCCAACCCTGTAGTTCATCCGGAATTCTTTCGGATTCGAAAGAAACATGTCGATATTACATTTGAAAATAAGGTGCTCAAATTCGTTTGAGTGATGATTAAAATATAAGCATTCGACAACCAACTGGCAACGAATTTTTTTTTCAAGAGATATATTTCAATTAGAGAGATACATATTCAGTGTGCGATGCAGCAAAATACAATGTTCTTTACATTTCAACCATGATTCAGTTAGAGAGTGATCCATTTCAATTTTCCCTACTTTTTTTTTTAAGAAAAATAAAGAAGCTTCAAATTTATTATCATTCGAAAGAACGTTCTTTGGCATTTATTTTATTTTTATATCGCCACAAGAAAAAGTGTAAGGGTGTGATGATGCTGAATGAAATTACAGCTCTTAAATTTCTTCAGGTTGTTACTTTACTTGTTTACATACCCATTGAGCCAGAAATAGGCCTAATCTAAAATATTTTTAGAGCCGGTAGCCGATATATCTACTTCAGCTGTACTTACGAAAAGTGCCAGAGCCGGTATATCGGCTCACGGCTTATAGCGGTTCACTACTCACATTGCAGGAGAATTCTATTTCAAAATAAATTTGTAATGCGTTATAAATGATCTAATTTCATTATAATATATAAGTATATAGTAAATATTTATTTTTTCTATAATTTTCAAATGAGTTCGAAAAAACCAGTGTCATTGTTTAGTTTTGTATCTCATTCACAATACGCAGTTTTTTGAATCATGTAAATATTGTTCCTCGTTTGGTTTTTACAAGCATTTTTCCAAACCCTTGTAAAACTGTGAAAACCGGCCGGTTTTTTCGCATAGGCACCTCTATTTCGCCCGGCACTTAGAGGGTTAACAACATTGACAACATTTAAAAATATTATTATTATGTATTTTTTGTTTGATTTGTGTTGCCAACTCAAATAAAAGTTTTATATTCTTATATGCCTCTCAGTTTTTCCATACATTATATAAGCCTTCCTGGGCTTATATTATATGTATATCATAAACATTTCAAATCACTTATAGATGGTCCAGATTTTTTCGCGTTTTAGCGAGACAAATGAATGACAATTAATTTTAAAATACATATACTATATTAAAAAAACGTTTAAAAGAGTAAAGATATTGTCCAAATTATCTTTCTGTATGTATTTTGTTAATCCACTGTGCATGGATGGCTCATGCACTTTTGAAGGGATAAATACCCTATGATGAGTACATGACACCTATTGTTTTTTGTGTATCCAGGTTTGATACACACATATAACACTGAGTAAATTGGTAGACGAGCAATCTTAGGAAACTTAGTTAACCATTTCTTAATTCGGTGTAAAATTGTATTTTATATTCATTTTATACCGATATATAACAGAAATAAAAATCCAGGACATGGCAGTGTTCGTTTCTGTGCGTTACATTAAAATAATACATTAATAATAAACAAGAAATTGCTGTGTTCACATTGTGTTGATATAACAATTTAAAGTAGTTTTTGAATTAAAATTTTGAAGACAAAACGAAGTTTTTGAAATCTCTTAAGTGCTCTAGCTTTAGATTAAGTATAATTTTACATAATACGGCACTTCGCAAAAGAAAGTGGTGAAGTCATAATATGGAAATGGACTCGTGTGGGATTTATGGTACACAACAAATACATGCTAAGGCGTATAGATGACCATAAATATAATGGCGTTTTCTTTTCTCTCAAAATAGTTGCATTTGTTCTGCCCTATTTATGGATCATATTCTTGGCAGTCATATGCATGTTATTTTTTTAACTTTCTCGTTTTTTATAGTTATTTTTTTAAATCCAAACTTCTAAATTGCGAACGAGTTGGTTGGCGAATATTATTATTTTTTTTTTTTTGTTTTTTTAACAAGTTTAATTTTTTTTAATATTGCCATTAAATTAGCTAACATTTTCATCGAGAAAAGAAAGCGCTATAAGTGTTCGGTGAAATTAAATAAAAGTTGACTAATTATACCTTGCTATAGCTCTATTCAAGTTTTAAAAAGTACAACTATAAGTACTTAGAAGTAGTAACCGTTTTATCATGTCTCTAATCAATTCAACTACAAAAACAGCAAATGATAAAAACATTGGTAATGATGAACATTATAATATTGCCAAAGACAACAATCCACAACAAGAACAGCAGCAGAAATGCGAAGTACAACTAAAGACGCCCAATCGTTATTTGGAGCAGCACAAAAAGCTTAGAGTTTATAACAGCGTTGCGACAGATTCGAGTGTACCAACAAACTTTCGTCGTGTGACATCAACAAATGTGAATGATTCTATGTCTGTATCACATGAGCAGCAGAAAAAAATGGAGCAATCTAAAAAATATTTAGGTGTTGAAAAGAATATAAATCAAAAATACGACAAAATACCGTCAATAACCCAGTCTGGACAGCAATCGCCACCATTGCATAAAGAGTTACTAAAAATTAAACCATCAGCACTACACCAACAGCAGCAACAAAAGTTCGAACTTTATGATACAAATGACAACTATCGCAGTTGCGACTTTAATTTTAATAGTAAAAAAAATTCCACACACATTTTCAGCACCAGCAACAATACGAACTATGATAAAAATGGAGGCTGCATTGGTATTTTAAGTGAAAACAACAAACCTTACATCGATAAGAACTTTAGCAAAAGCATCGGTGAACGACTCGATAATATCGGGATTGAGTCTTTCCAAGTTGGCGCAGGGCCTAACTTAAGTGCAAATAATTTATCATTAAGTGGCGTCAGTAAATCTTTAAGAACACTCGATTCTGCACCGCAAATCGGTAGTACGGCATCTATCACCAGCGAGCAGCAACTCTGTCAGTTGTACAATTCACAGCAGCATTCCGATTATATAATATCAGATTATATGGAAAAGATAGCGACGCGTATTAATTTATTAGATACAGAGTTAAAATTTGCTTGGAGTGCACTGGATTTGTTATCTAGTGAGTATGGTAAAATCTGGGCGCGGTTGGAAAAACTAGAGAAGATCTCGTTTGAACAGCAGTCAGTTGTAAATAATTTAATAGGTTTAATATCACTTAAACATGAACAGCAAGAACAAAATGAACAACAATCTGAGTGTGTGACACATTTAAGCTTTCTTGATACCTCAAAATATACCGAGAAACAAAAGCTTACACCGTTCGATTACTTGCTGCAAGGTGAACAATTATTGATGTCTAATTTGGTTGAAGCCGAACAACAGGCCATTCTCTTGAATAATTCAGCTGCTATATTATTGCAAGATATAAATACGGAATGCGCTTCCGAAAAATATAATAACTTGTTACAAGAGATGAAGAACGATACATTAGATGCGCTGGATGCCGTACGAATAAACAGCGAACTAGAAGCGCTTGACAAGTTATTGCAGCAACAAACAAATAATATATGCAATTCTGGTGAAATACATCAGCACTTGCGAAATGAAAACAAAATCGGCCATAATAACCATTTTCAAGTATCAGCAGTTCGTCGTGATCGCCAACGTAAATATGAGGACAAACTTGCTGTAATGGTTGATGACGCTAATTTGTCGCTGGAAAAACTATCTGATTGTAATGTAAGCAGCTCGTTAGTAACGCTGAACTCAGTAAACCGACAGTGTTTAAAAAATCAACAAGTATCAGATATATTATCAGAAGAAACCAAGTCACATCAAGAGCCAAGTTCCCGTTTAAGCTGGCTCGACTCTTCGAAAATAACAGATAACGATCTTTTACATTATTATCAACAACAACTGTTGGCAAACGATACCAAAAGTGAACTGTCTCCAGAGTTTCTGTATAGCCGTAAGCTTTTAGGGAAACTTACACAGCCAGAAAGTTGTAATAGTTTTGATCAGTTTAAAGGCAGTTGTAATGAAGCCACTAATATAACAGGAAGTATGCAAAATTTGACGAAGTTAGATGAAGTTAGATTCGCTGTTGCACTGCCGTCGACAGCAATTGAGACAAATATATCAGTATCGAATGCACGCTCAACGCATATCAGTCCGGAAATTTATTGGGATTCGACTCATAATATACGCGAAAAGAAAGATTTTGATAAGACAATAGATATGGATAGGAATGATTTTATTAGGAAGGATAAGTTTTTTCAACAAGTGGCCTCTAAACAAGGCGAACTCTTGCAAGCGGATGTGGCAATAGAAGACACGGGTGGAACAATATTACCAGTCGATATTAGAAACAATAGTGAAGTGACCGAAGACTTTTATAAAACACTTAATGAGGCATATCGTGATGATACTCTGAACACAGAAATTTCCAATGTGGAAAGTTTATTGCAACATAATGAAGTCACAAATGAACATATACTGAGCAGTTTGGGCACGCGCAGCAATTCAACTTTGGATATAATACGGGAAGACAATGAGGAGAGTGGTATTGGCGCTATACTTTCAAAACATTCCGATATAGTTAAATCTCAGTTAGTTTCAAAAATAGAAGTTACATCACCACAAGTTTTTGAAGCTTGCACAACGACAACGGCAACAAATACAAAAACCACAACAATAGTTACAAGAAGAACGAAAGACATTAAAAAACACAAAAAGAAAAAGCATCAGAATGACGAGATGGAAATGCTGAACAATCTGAAAAGCGCGCTTGCCAAAGCTGCTGCAGTTCTTACATCCAGTCCTGTATTAACTAAAAAAACGGCAATGTATTCCAGTTTTGCGTTCACCGAAGAACAATATCTCCAAAATAACTCAAATAATGGTGACTACTATCCAACTGCTTCATCTTCGGAGGACGAATGCAGAGCTAAAAAAGTTCATGGAGCCCAAGATCATTATTGTAATCACCTGAATGAAGACAAAACCATACCCCTCGACAGCACTGGAGATATATTGCTAATGGAAATAAATAAAATACAAGATCTTCAAGTATTAAGCTCGGCACAAATTGTCACACTACGCACACTTGTTAAAAAAGAGCATAATTTTTTTGAAAAAATACACCAAGTTAATAAGAATCTTTTATTACTGCTTCTGAATCCGATAACAATAGGCGAGGAGCTTCGTACACTTGGAAATGATAAAATACGAAAGTTCGAAAGAGTTATGAAAACCTTGGAACGTAATATAGACACGCTGAAAAAATTAGTTGGCAACTCTTTTGAGGACTATACACGAATGTACTTAACCGATGATGAATTGGTGGTGATAAAAAAAACTGATAATTATCTGGCTGATGATAATGAAGTTGTGTCGAATATCATGACAACAAAAAATAAAAAACAAAAAAAATCTAAGAAAAAGAAAACAGAAAGGAAAGAAAATGTAATTGGCGATCTTGCAGATACACATCAGACACAAACAGTAAGTGATACAGATAAAATTACACCTGTCACAAATAGTTCCATCGATTGCGATAAGACACATTTTGACTATAGCGCTCATTTACTTCGAAACAATTCCAATTTGGACGAACAACTAAAAATTTTAGAAACTCAAGAACATGAGATGCGTCTTAAAAAATTGCATGATTCTACCATAAGCCCTACAACCAACATCAATAATATTATAAATAATAAAAGTGGTCTCGGACAGAAACCACAATGCAATTATTTGGCTGACATGGATATTGAGTCGGAGCATATGCTGTTACAAACAACAAATGCAACACCTAATAGTCAAGATAAAACATTGGGTCGCGCTACTTCGGTAGCAACACTTTACAATAATGATGAGTATATAAAGTCGCTAAAGAGAAGCCTGGAGCGACACAATAGCATGCTTTTTCTTTTACATTTACAACATCCTGAATACCAAAGTAAAACAAAAGCATATCAAGATATTTTGGCTTTGGACATTGATGGCATACTCTTAGCTGGTGTTGGTGGGACTCAAAGCCCACCACCTCCAGCGCCCTACGATGACGATGATGCAAATGCAGCCATTGATAGCAATAACGATGATGCTCAAAAAAAGGCGACTTTGCAGTTGGTAAATGATGACACCGATGCAGATATAGCTAACCTATCGGTACTATCAATAAACGCCTCAAATCCATTTCATACACATAGCGCGTCATATGACAATGCGAAATTAGAATTGTTAAATGAGACACCAAAACAAACGAAATCGAATTCTGACCTTTCATCTATAAACCGTTTGTCAAGCTGGGAGAAGTCGCTAAACTCTACGCTATGCGGTGTTGGCGTTGTTAGTACGAACGCTGATAAATACAATCCATTTCTTAATAAGTGTATGAGTTTGCAGTTACTAATGTCTGAAGATTTGGAATCAGTAAATAATAGAGCCACTAATTTCTGTAGTTCCAGGTTGAATTCAAAGCCTTGGATGACAGCCGATCTAGATTCGGATAATGGTGGTTTGAGTTTAAATGATACTAGCTCTACTGAAATAGAATTGGAGATCACAACACGTGCCGTTACCATAGCGACTGCTAATTCTGTTATTCCAACGATTATTAGTACAACTAATGCCACTTTTTCCAACACTGGCGATAAAATAAAGCAAAAAAATAATTTAATGCCCATACAGCAAGCGAGGGAAAATAATTACCTGTTGAATGAAGAAAATTTGAACTATATATGTGAGTTATCTAAGAATATGCCCATTTGTTCCGTCTATGAGAGCAAATCCATTTTCAATAAACTCAAAGTTGGTACCATGGATGAGCATGTACGAACTGTCGATGAAGTCCTTGAGTGGGGTCATCGGCAGCGACAACGGCAGACACCAAAGAGACAGCAAAGTGTGGCAAATATGTTAGGTGATCACAACCGGCGTATGCCGGATCTTTTGCGAAGACCCACATATACAACTACGCTTGGAGGGGTCGGAAGGATCACTTCCGATAGGAAAAGTATACAGTCTGAGGGTAGGTGTGAATCATCCCAAACACATAAAGGACAACTCACTGATCGTCTCGTTTATTATCCGACATCTAATGATATTAAAGATTATAATAGCTGCAATAATCTAAATTTTTTGGATAAGAACCATTTGGAGCACCCTTATCAACATCAACCTCATCAGCAAATGTCATATAATCATGGTTTTAGCTGCTTAGCTCCCACCAATTTTTCTAATGTGTCAGTAAAAAAGGCAGTAAACACACATCACCAACATTACATGCTACATCGTTCTTCACCAGCCGTCAATGAACAAAGCAATCGAATATTCAAACAGAATAATTTTAACGGTTCTCGAAATTATGTATTTCAATCCAAACAGCACAAGAATGCAGAGTTGTCCACTTCCTATGTTTTACGCGGTGCGCATTATGATGCCAAAGCAGTACAAGATATTGACATAGTAGCATCTTCAACGTCTGCCGACATAGTTGGTTTATCCGGTAGTGAAACAACATCAAGCACTACATTTAAAGTTTGGAATAAGTTTACTAATTTTTTGCCGGACAATTTAAAATTGAAGCGATCTTTACGATATGGTCGTTCTCGGTCATTGCCTACGAGCCATGACAATTACTCGGAAGATAGAGGATCTTTTCAAACAAGCCAAGATGATTGTTACCCTTCAATTGCTGATCATATGGCATCATTCAATGTGTCTCGTGAGAACATGACACATAAAGGTAATGTGTCATTGCATAAAGTGGCTACGGAGCCAAAAAAATGCTGGCAGCAACAGCAGCGTGGCAATAAACATTCTCGTAGCAGTTTCGAATTTTCAAAACGTTTATACAAACTACCCACAAAGCTGGTGCAGCATGCTACTCCTACTGGTGCAGTCCCCGTTGGTAGCGCAATTACATCAGACATAATTGCTGCCCGCAATTTAAATTGCGTGGATACAACTAACAAGACTGTAGCTGGTAACCATAAAAAACGTTCAAGGTTTTCAGCGACTGTAAATAATTTAATGCAGAAAGCCAAAACTGGATACAGGCGTCACAGTTTTGTAGCTCGTGGAATTACAGATTCTCGTGCTGCGGCTATAGTATATAGTGTATCAGATACAGAGGCGGATGTACCCAGTTTTATTTCTTCGGATAATGAAGGCTCTATAGTCAGTGATATTGAAAATTTTAGTACATTTTCAGTGGATACTAACGGACGTGATGATGGATGCGATACTGCAATATATGAGGCAAATAAACCTCAACTTCAGTCATACGGTATACAGTTTTTTAGTAAAGAGCTTGAAGTCAGAGAAGGTGATGACGGGGACAACTATAAGGGAGTTGTGTCTTCCGATATAAAAGATAGTGGGCTGAGTGATGTTGCTCAAGTTAAGGATAATGAAGAAGGTGGCCACATATTTGGGCAGAATGAAATTAAAGAAAATGAAATGCATGATTTAACCGTCAGAGTGACTCCTTCGAACACATTTATAAGTCACAAAGAAAAGGTTACGGCAGATACAAAGGAAAACGAAGTTCTTGATTTACAGTCAAAAGTATTGAAACCACCAGATCAATATATAATTAAGATTACGGGAGGATTTAAAAGTCAGCAAAATCAAGTTGAAACCAAATTACGTAGTGCAAACAAATCAGTTTTAACAAAATATAATTCAAAGGCGATGGATAATTCTCACGTATTGCTGGACTTTGTAAGAACTCCCAATCAAGTGACTACTGTTGTGGATAAGAAAGAAGGGAAATATAATGATGATGGTGTTTCAAATGAAACAGAAGTACCATCAATAGCTGTAGCAACAGCTGATAACTCACATCCACCACTATTACCGATAACAAGTGAGTTTACTAATCGAAGTTTGGCAGCACAACAGTCGCTTGATGTCTCTCTAGGTTTAACTGAAGAAGATGACAATCGCAGTCAGTATTCTTTCCGCACGCTGTCGTCATCACGTCGTCAAAGCACTGAGGATAGCATTGATACAGATGATGAATACTTTTGTTATGAGCTAAGGCAGTTGGAAGAATTGGAACAGCAACGAAAAGCTGAATACCTAGATGAAAGTGATAAGAAGTCACCGGTAGGCATATCCCTGGTTGATAATGTACGATTGTTTTCACAAATCGATCAATTGACTCTAAGAAGTACAACTTGCTATAATAACTCCCAACACATAAATACATATGCTACATTTGATAATGACAATAAAGTTGTTAATAATACCGTGTTGCAATTTTCCGCTGAAAACGAACCAGACGAAGCTATTAAACAGCTTATGTGTGAAGTCCTAAGAGAATTGAAATGTGTTGTCAAGGAAATACCAGCAATAGACAACGTAAAAGTGGAGTCACCATTTAAAGTAGAGATGAAATCTTCACAAAACCGCTTTTCCACGAAATCAACCGTCTCAAGTAACTTTGAACGTGTGACAAAAGTTACTGATTTGCATAGCGCGTGGCAAGATATTAATGGAGATGATTCGCAACATGGGTATTCTGATATGGATGCTGAGGAACATGCTCTGGAGGAAATTGGTAGCAGTGAAATTATGGATGAAGGCAGTACGATGAATATATTCGTATACGCTGATAATGCAGCCCGCAATAAATTCACAAAATGTCATAACCTTTATCAGCAACAACCAGAACAGAAAACACAGCACATTAGTGGTGAACGTGTAGCTCAACATAAGCGTTTTCGCAAACGACGTGATCGCCGACGGATGACGGATAATAACAACGATAAGGATAATGAAGCAACTAATCATGATCCGCAGCATCAACATATCACTACCTCTTCATGTTCATCTGAAGAGGAAGTGGTCAGCGGAATTAAACTTTGTAAAGATAAGACAAAAACGAGTCAAGGGGGTGGTAGCAGTAGCTGCGATAAGCATAAACGGGCAACCATAGCTAGAATTATACCAAATAAAAGGGAAAGTTCTACCAAACCAACGCAAAATGACCTGTTGCTAAATTCTGCTACGAAAGCAAATGGGATGGATGAAGATATATATGTTGATTTTAACGAGGATGATGATGTAAATAATGTGAGTATGTCATCCAGTGCCACCCTTGGTCCAGATACACCAGCTGAACTAAGTGAGGAACTGGAAGGCGACCAGAATATTTATAAGACCGTTCCAAGCTATCAAGCATTTAAAGGCAATCAAGAAAGCATTGAAGTATCTAACAGAAGTTTGAGGGTGGAACAAAATTTGACTGATGCTGAGGACGAAAATACCGGGTTAGAAATTAATCATACAACCGCTCCAACTGTTAACCAGATTCATGAGCATTTAACAAAACTTGAGGAAGAAACACAAGACAACACACAAAGGGAAATGCATCTATTAAGTCATGATTCTAGTGCTGAAGTTAGTGGGACGCAAGGTACAAATATCAATACATCAGTACTTGGGAGTAGCAAATGGAAACTTCTGAAAACTCTCAAAGAACGGAAAATCGAAGAAAAAAATTATCAAGTTAAAGCTAAAGACGAGGAATGTAGTAAAGATCGTGAAAAGGTAAGCATTCCAATATTAACACAGAATCTGAGCTTTTGTGACGTTTAATCTTACACTATCATATAGCAATCCTTTTTGAAATCAAGAACTTCAAGTGAATGAATAAAAAGGGTAACTGATGTAGTTTATCTACTTCTGGTAATCTAGCACAGTCATTTGCTTCGAATGGAGAATATTTTTTCTATTTTATTTTATTTACATTAGAGAGACTTCTAACACTGCTAATTTTTGATGTAGATCTGCTGAGCACTGAAAGTCGTAAATGAGAATCTTTGCTCTCTAGGGAATTCATCATCTCCAAAAGCCGATTATAGTGGTTTCAGGCCGTTAATTTTAGACCATGAATTCAAATTATCTAAACAAGTTATTTTACAGTAAATGGTGGGTTGGTAGTGCGACTGAAATAAAATCTTTACTCCAACCCAACATGCTGCAACATATTTGATTTAAAATTCATCAGATCGACAAAATTGTTGTATTTGGAAATTAATTTCGTTAGCACTTACATGTTTGTCCGCTAATGTAACCCGATTACGTAGTCAGTTATGTATGAAATAAAGTCGTTTTTCTGTCCTTACGTCCCTATGTATGCTTAAATCCTTAAAACTACGCAAAGGATTATGATGTGGGGTTTTTTTTTTTAATAGATAGAGTGATTGAAAAGACAAGTTTATATGTAAAATATCATCCATTAAATAGTGGTGAAATACTGTTATTTTTGAGATTTCTAATGTGATGCCGTAAAAAATTAAATTTTTTTTCGCTTACATTGAAATCGCAGGCTGAACCCTACGAGATTTATCAAAATAATGTACTAAACATTGTACACTTTAAGAAGGTCTATAAAAACACCTGGATGGTATATGTCCATCTCTTATGGATATCCCATAATAAATTTTGTTTGTTATTTTCTTCTTATATGTCCATCTCTTATGAATATCCCATAATAAATTTTGTTTGTTATTTTCTTCTTACGATAAATAATGGGTAATTCTCGAAGCGATTTTAACCAATACAGAATTAATCCTTATCCAATTGAATACATTGTTGATTCAATATAGATCTATATGGCCTTTTACAGCATATGAGTATGAATGAATATTTTCGAAGGTATTACATATTTAAAAACTGGCTCAGTAAGCAGTCGATGAATATAATACCAGATGCATCCCAAAAGACTGATGCCATAACCTTGCCAGCCGACTTTTTCGACTTTCCACGCTTGAGGACTGGTTCATAATGCGCAGTCCATCCACTAGGCTGACTGTCGATTGGACTCCGGTGTGAGATGACGGAGCCACGTTTCTATTGTCACACACCGACGCAAAAACTCGGTTCAAATACAACTAAAGAGCACTCACATTATGAACTTGCGAGGCACATATTTTGCTCAATGCAAAGTGTGTTTCGCCTCTTTAGAGCGTCATTGTAATCCGTGCTCATTTCGCCTCTTTCCAACTTAGCAAATCTTTATTCAACGGTGGATTGCCTAGGTAAAGAACCCAAATTCAACAGTATTTTTCTCCCAAATAGAAATGCTTATTAACACGCGAAATGCTTTATGATCAATTTTTTTGTAAACTCACATAAGTTTCTTAAAAAATTCTATGTCTCATTAACTAAGAGTTTTAATCTAATTAATAGAAATCATAAAGATCATAGTAGCAATATTGTTTATGTGTCAGCCACAGTAAAGCGTGGGCGGGTACTCTAGTATAAAAATACGTTGGGTTTTAGTCTGTTCGCTATAGCTGACTAAACCGTTGCATGAAATGAAAAATAGCCTGAACCATCCAATGAGGAAGGTTTGTGTAAAAAAAAATTCAGAAAATGTCCATTTTTAACCGACTCTCGAGCGTAAATTAAAGAAAAAATTCATTGCTTACTTATAACAAATAATGTTACATTTAGACAGGGAATGTTATTTAACATTTACCTAAGCTGAAACTCACTGATAAGAGTGAATTATAGCGTCAATAACAAAAGAAACATTTTTGTTCGGATGTGTCAGGGCGCTGACAAGACTTTTCTTGCAAATTTAATACTTGCTAAAATAAGACAATCAGGGAAGATAGCGATAACAGTTGCTTCTTCAGGAATTGCTGGAACTCTTCTAAGGAACGGAGAAATTGCTCATTCATCTTTTAAATTTCCGTTATCCACAAATCTTGAATAACAATCAATATATTCTATCCGCAGTAATGGGTCTCTTGGATAACTATCGCAAGACGCCTCATTGATTATATGGGGTGAGTGTACCATGAGCCATAAAGCACATATAGAGGCCATGGACAGAACATTAAAAGCCCTTAGAAACTGTTTTGCTCTCATGGTTGGGATTACTTTTGTATTTGCAGGAGATTTCCGACAGACTCTTCCCGTCATAAACAGAGGTACGCGAGCAAATATCATCAAAGCATGCTTAATATTGTAAGTCTTATGGACTTGAAAGTATAAAATCCTGGACAAATACGGGAGCTCATTTTCATGGAATCACTGATGGTGATTTTCCACAGTTATTGCTTAAACTTTGGGTAAGAATTTTTCCCACTCCAAATTTAAATGGTAATTGTAATATTCTTCTGGATGAGTCTCTAGGCCAAATACCTGTAGTAAAAGTTTAGAAATTTTAATAGATGTAGTATACATCGAGAATTCGCACGAAAAGGAATTTCATTGGTTGTATTCCAGGGCAATAGTGGAATGATACTGTCAAAGAAATAAACGATCTAAGTATTCGAAAAGTTCCCGGAGAAATAAAAAAATACTGATTGATAGGCACTGTGACTAATATCGAAGATGCACTCCATTATCATGAATTAGCTTTAAAAACTGGAGTTCCAATTTTAGTTTTGAGAAATTTAAGTCCACCAAACATGTACAACCGAGGCTGCTTATTAAGGAATTGAAGTACAATTTAATTGCAGCAACCATTATCGCCAGCTCAGCATCTGGTCAACTAACTCATGTACCGAGGAATCCAATGATCTCAAGTGATCTGCCAATGCCATTTAACCAGCTTCAATTTCCGTTGAAAACATCCTTCGCTCAAACTATAAACAAGTTCCAAAGCCAAACATTAAACATTAAAACGAGTTAGCATTTAGAACATTTTTGTGAGAGAGTGTGCACAAAATTATAACTCTTGAAATGATAGTTTAAACCCGTGTGAAGCTGTACGTGTGCAATTGCTGTGTTTTTATTTTATTTTTGAAGTATGTAAATATCCAAATTTGAATTTTGAACACATGTTTAAGATTTGAAATTTTAATTTTATTTATGAATTGTTTGGATTTTTAATGTATGATATGTGCTGAATTTTACTACAATCGGTTATGTAGTTTAGCAGTTTCGCTTGGACAAACAGTTGCGTCTGTTACATTTCGTTATACCACAAAAACGAAATAAAAATTCTATGTCCGTCTAGTGGTTCTAAGCTACCTACGCACCAAAATATATTCTCTCGTTATTTAGTTATACTATAAATAGTGTAACAAACACGACTTTATTTTATATGTATACATGGATTAAATTGACAAATTGTGTAAAACTTTCTCACAAGAGTTCTTTTATTTATAAGTTTTTACTACAAAATGCAAAAGATGACTACAAATTTAATTGCAAATGTAATATACGTGAGATATGTTGCTTATGGTATATCCGAATAATCTTTGCATTATATTACTACTGCAAACCGCTATCGAATATAGCTGTCATACGAATTAAGCGATCAAAATAAAGTTTTTGTACGGAAAACTTTTATATAACTAGATATCTTCAAAAAAATTTATTTTCGAATGCAATAATACGAGTACAATCTGCAAATACCTTTTTTATATCGGACCACTGTAGCACATATGTAGTTATGTACATGCTTATGTGAAAACCTTTTTTATTAGTGAAGTGTACTCTAACTTCGATACACCTGAAGTAAAATTTATTTCTGGTTAGAATTATTTTCTACTGCTTTTGATAATATTGGATTAATACTAGCTTAATGAAACTATAATAAAGTTAATAACGAACTTCAAAAATCAAAAAATATTACAAAAAATATTTTATTTTGTAACTCTCGCTTGTTTTAACTTTTTTATATAGCTCAATAATAACTATTTTTATACAAAACAAATGACTCTATAAACTACATGTTGATATAAAAAAGTTATAACAATAGTTTTCAAAATATATTGATACATTACTAAGGAAACTCCATTTATCTTCTATACAATAAAGAATGGCAGTGGACCTGGTGATATTGGCATACGGGGTAGCGGGCACCCGGGAGACAATCCATTCTACAGTAACATTGACAGCATGCCAGATATACGTCCTCGTCGGAAATCCATTCCACTCGTTTCAGAACTTGTAAGTAGTATGTTTTTGCATTTAAATCATCTATACATAATAACTTCATTATATTATACTTATATAATACGTATATTTATATACATATGTATGTAGATAATACTACAGTTGTACAAATAACTAAAAACGTATGTGTGATACATATAAAAATCATTGTGCTGTGTTTTTGCGTTCATATACAGACCTACTCACCTATGTAGTCGAGAAATAAAAAATAATTTGTTTGGCACTTACATGTTTGTTAAATAAATAAATGAACACATACATATATATATATATACACTAGGGTGGATAAAAAAGCGATGTTGTTGTACGCTTCGTTCTCTGAAAAATTGGTTCATAGACAATTTTGAGAAAAGCTCTCCAGGTACGAACTCTTAATTGCCTTTTTTTTTGTTTTAATAATAAAATAATATAATAATTAAACGTTGTTATTACGTATATCCTTCTATGATGAGATTGTAAATATTATTGAAAGATCCGATATATAGGGTTAAATATACATAAATATTCAGGATGACGAGACGAGTTGAAAATCGACTGACTGTCTGTCCGTCCGGGACACAGTTCGTAGATGAGCATAATCGGACTACTGTGATACCCACAAAACGCCATCAAGAGAAAGTCTATAAAAAGTCATAACTAAACAAACGTTATATTAAAAAGACATAACCAAAAATAACACTTAAAAATAAAAAAAAAGTAGTTTTGATACCCCTTATATAAGGTTTAATGTACATACATATCTCCTAAACCACTTAGAGTGAAATATCCAAATTTGGTCAGGACAAATCACTGGGTGCTCAATCGACACTGTAAATCCATATATCGGATCCATCAAAAGTTACCAGAAGCGCGATAAATCAATAAGTAAAAACTTCAGAATCCATTTTGCAATTGCTATGAGAGGACTTAATAAGATCCGAGGCAAATTCTTTTAACTATTAAAATTTTAACCGTTAACTGTTACGCTTACGAAAAGTTCGTTTTCGACGACCTTAAATTTCATATATATTAAAAAACGAATATTTTTTTGAGAAGCGAGATACATTTTTTTGCTATTTAATAATAAGAAAAAAAGAAGACCGATAAGAGCTCATACTTGGAAAGTACCAAGTGAAAAAAACATTGCGTGTTTTTTACCCATCCTAATATATATAGTATGTATTTGCTTAATTCGTGTACACTCAGCTTGAGTGTCCTAGTTATTTTTCGAATTCATAACAAATTGTTTATTTACGTTATCATTACATTGAACAAAGTTAAAGTTATTTTATTTCGATATTTTTGAAGCAATAGTTTGCATTTTGTAAGTGATTTCTGTCAGTGTTCCGGCCAGTAAACCTATCACATATTGTCACTCAAACAAATGTTCACATGTTTGCAATATGGTTTCGTTTGACTGCATTTATATTAAACTAAAAAGAAACTGGTAGGCAACTTTAATCATTCTAGTTTCCTCTGAACAGATCCATAAAAGTTTCTTGTGTTATTATATCCTATTGTTAAACTGAAGCATATTTGTATAATATAATGAAATCACGTGAACACTTTTTCGTGTTTATTATAAACAGTCTTATTTTTAATTTCCATATTCTGGCCTGAATACGACGTGGCATACTGTCAACAACAGTTTTTTACATTTTTGGTTTGATAGCATTCTATGCAGATCACACTTTTGACCATAAATTATCCAAGTTTCCATTATCCTTGCAATTCCTCTTTTCCGAACACCCCAGATATGTTCTATATGATTAAGGTCGGGAGATTCTGGAGATCACTTTATACCCGCTGTCATGCAGCTATTTAGTGGTAACTTTAGCCGTTTGTTTGGGATCGATATTTTGTTGGAATACAAAGCTCTCCTTATGTAAACCAAACTTATTCGGCTCAAAATGGCAATATAATATTACTACTCTTTTGTCAAAGAATCCAACACCTTGGATCATCATGATACCATTATGAAACCACCACCAAACTTAAGACTTGGTTTAATATGGTGATGCGAAATTCTGGATCTGTGTTGTTTTCATAACCATTAACGGCTGTCAGACCCATTAACGATTTATTTTGGATTCATCTGACCGACTGCATTTTTTTAAACTCCTGAAATGTCTCAAAAGGAAACACTGCCTTAATTAATACTTGGTAGATCAGGCGTGTTACGCTGTGGCACATTTTTGGGATTATTGTCTGGGGGGGAGAAATTCCAAGTCAGGGTGATGGTACTAGGTCAGTATAGTGAAACCCTCAAAGCCTTTGGCGTTCGTATGTGTCAGTTTTTTTAGGACCTTTTAAATTTTTTCCTTATCTCGATGTTTTTTCGCTTAGTTGTAAGATTTTGGCAAAATGGCAAGGTCATAAAGAAAACTGGCCCATACGAACGGCAAACCCTTTGAGGGTTTTGCTATACTGACCTAGTACCATCACCCTGACTTGGAATTTCTCACCTCCCAGATTAGCTGTTGTACTGTATTATTGTTTACGTTGGCCACTGGTCTCACTGCATAATTTTACAAAATTATGCTACACTGCTATGGAAGAGTTAAATTAGGCAATTGTTCATTGAAAGCGAACGGTTAACAACTGTCTTTGATTCGCCGTTTTGCTCGTCGTTATCTCTGCGGGCTGCTCACTTGCCAAAGAATTACGTGTTAAGCCAACAACAAAGTTATGGAGTTGAATTCGTACGAAAGAATACGGGGATACGTTTTCAACAAGAAAAGATGAGTTCTCCACCAAAGAAAGAATCGCAACATAGTTGCGTATGTTTGAGAAGCCATGTTAGTGAAGGATTCGACCACAAGTGCTGTCCGTTTTTTTGAAGATTTGGTTTAGTTTGTTTGGTCCACTACTCTCTATTGCTTGGCGAATCGAAGGCAGCTATTGAAAATGCGCGAATGACTACATATATATATGTATTCACTAATGTACATATTTTTCTTTTATAAATATGAACGTTAAGACAGTCAAAAGCCATACACATACATCCATGTAGTTCTAAATATACTCCTAATGTGCAAATAATAAGAATAAGGTTTTGTTGTTTCTATATAGATAGTTAGCGTTTCTATATAGATTTTCTTTTTTTGTTTCAAAATATTCTACTTTTCTTTAAAACGTCTATACATACACATTTAGGTCTAAAACCCTGTTAAATCGTTATATATTCAACTTATATATATTTATTGTTTCCGTTAAATACATTTGTTAATTACTTCATTTAAATAAGATTTTATTTCTTTAATATCATTATCAATTTTTGTTGTATGGGTCAAGTAATAAAGTAATATACTTGTAAGCAAATATGAGTTGTACTTTTGTATTAATCCACAAATATTTCTTGCTTGCATTTTCTACTTCTCTAAATTAATGTTTCTGTAAAAACAACTGAATCAAAAAATTTAAAATAAAACCGAAAATAAATCGACCAATATAATATCAATATGCTGTATTTGCAAATGTGGATCAAAAGGTGCTCAAGGTATATGAAATAATTCAATTAATATAATAACATAATAATTCATATATATAATTTGAAAACAGTAATTGTTTTATTTTCTTGATAAAACTATTCATTGCTATATAGTAACGGTAATTAGTACATTTACAACAAAAAACTTGTTAAAATTACTCTAATTAATTACACAGTTTGCACAATACTTCTATTTAATGGTTCAACTTTCTACTTGCTTTCACTTGAATGAATGACATATACAAGCAAATTATGTAGTAATGATAACGTTTTTTTATTTCCGATGCCAAAGTTTTATAGAATTTGTTTTGATTTTGTTTTAATGATAACTTTTTTTCTGCCAAAATTACACAGAATTTATATTCTTTATATGGCTTTATATGAAACAGGCTGTATTATTTGTATATATGTTAAAGGGTTCTTTTATTACCCCGTAAAATTTACGATTTATTGCGATATAAAATAATGGGTTCAAAAGTTGTTCATATTAGGAATTTTAGTAAGTTAAAAATAAAAAGTGTCTGGATTTAAAATTACATAGCAATTATTAGAGGTCAACACTTCGTTTAGCCAAGTTATCTTTCGTTTGCTTTTTATTGAGAACTGATAGAAACTCTCTAAATCTTAATAATTATTTGAATAATAGTGTCAAAAATGTTGAACTTTGAAATTTATCACCAATTAAATTACAATTAGAAAATGCTCTTATAATCAGTGGAATATGTTGCGATAGTATAAAAACATTCGCACTACACACTCTTTGGAAATGATCACAATATTTTGAACTCCACCTGATTTTAATACCCTGAACCAGTTATGTATGTTGATATGTTTGTAACATAAAAAAGAAACGTCGTTGTTTGTATTTCTTAAAACTAATCGAGACAGATATAGATATAAATGACATATATATGTATGTATATAAATGATCGTGGTGGCAAGACGAGTTGAAATCCAGGTGACTATCTGTCCGTCCGTCTGTCTATGCAAGCGACAACTTGAGTAAAAATTGAGATATCTTGACGAAACTTGGTACAAATATTCGTTGGCACAAAAATTCGTGCCATAACTGAGCACCAAATTAAGATACAGGAACACCTGTGGGCTAAGCTATTTTTACAAGCGGGAGTAGCCCCGCCCTTTAAATGAGTAAATATATATATCTTTTAGGAATTTTAAATTTCCTTTATGGGAGCCGGTGCATAAATCTTTCAATGAGCGTGTCAGTGCCCTCTTTTCGGTTAAATCCTATAACCCATTTACTATTTCACATATTTCTATCAAATTAGATGTGTACGATTATCCAAATATTCCTATGAGACTGTGAAAATAGGCGAAATCGGATGACAATCATAATTTCTATCTGAATATTTCACTTTTTAAATTCTAATTTAACTCCATAGCTCATCAACTGTATTCATTGGTGACGCTTTTTGTGGCAGCCACTAAATTTTCGTTTGTTTGTCTAGAGAATTTGTTCGTGAAATCTTGGTCATAAGCAATACTGTAATGATTTAACTTAATATTCGGTAGACATTGCTCCGTGCGACCTTTTCTATTTGAAAAAATATGATATGGTTGGAAGAGCCAAAGGCTAACGCCAAAAATCGAGTTTGAGTTGGAAAAAGCGCTGGCATATGTGCATAATGTTGAATGGGGACTAATTTGAAGGCGATATCATTAATGTAGACAATTTAATAAATATGTTTTTCAAAAAACGAAAATTAGTTTTTGAACACCTCTTATAGCTGCCATATAAACTGACCGATCAAGTTATTTAACAATATAGTTTCATTTGATTCACTAAATTCCGCATCGCTTATTTTTGAAGACAACGCTACAATCTTTGAATCGGATAGCACCACCATACCCATGTAAACAGGTAAAGAGATGACGAATATTTCAGCTGAAATTAAACTGAACGTCCATCTGGCACTATTGAGGATCGGTCTATGTATGGCGTGGCAGTTAGCCAGTATAACATCTGTAAACGGTTTTATAGCTTCGGTGCAGCCGAATACCATTTTTATAACTTTGTGTTAAATGCAATATCGGAAATTACGAAGAACAAATTCTGATTTTACAGAGTTTTCATTAAGATCATACAGCTATGGATGTTTCCTTTTTCCTTATTCGCATGAAAATTTATTTTTGGTTTGGCTTAACTATAAAATGATTGTAAGCTCATAGTAATATATTATATAGTCATATGTGTACACCATAATATTGGGTAATCGAAAAAGTCTTTTTGAATTTTGTCAATAGATAGATAGAATTATGGAAAATATTGACCAGGACTGTCACATAAGCAGCCATGGCATCGCTAAGGAACTTAACATTCAAATGGATCAAACGGTTTTGAAACATTTAAAAAAAGGCTGGCTACCATAATAATGTTTCGATGTTTGAGTACCACATGAATTGTCTGTGAACATTTTAATGGACGGAATTAACATCTGCGATTCTTTGCTGAAACGAAATGAAATCGAACCATTGCTGAACCAAATGATAACAAGAGACGAAAAGTGGATCAAATACTACAATAATATGCGAAAAAGATCATGGTCCTAGCGTGGTGAACAAATGGTCGCAAAGCGAGGAATGACGCCTCGAAAGGTTAGCTGAGTTGTGATTGGAAAGGAATCACCCACAATCAGCTGTTCCAGTTCGACCACACATCTTTGATGACTCGGCTAAAACTAGGAGAGCTAGGCTGGGAAGTTTTGATGCATCCACCCCTGATCATGCACCATCGGACTACCATTTGATTCGTTCAATGCAGAACTCCCTTAATGGAGTAAAGTTGGCTTCACGAGGAGCATATGTAAATTAGTTGTCGAAGTTTTTCGCCGAGAAACCAGAAAAGCTTTACATTGATGAAATAATGTCTCTAGCGGAAAAATGGCAAAAAATAGCCGACTAAAATGGTACATATTTGGTTCATTAAAGTTCATTATACTATAAATCTAAAAAAATAAGTTGAAGTTTGATTAGACATGCGAAAAGACTTTTTCGACTACAATAGTTATAGTTGGTAACCCTTTTTATCCTCCAAACGTATACTAGATCCTTTTTATACTCTCGCAACAAGTTACCTAAAGTCTTAAACGTACTTGATAATCCGAAGGACTATTCGTGGTAGATTTAGTGCTATGTACGTAGAAATAGAACAGGATGAGACAAATTGATACCCGGGTTTCGCTTCGTTCGTTTGTACGTGCAGCAGCATGGGCGGGCATATGAAATACTTTTATGAAATTAATTCTTTCCCAACCACAATGTACTTTGGTGCTGAAAATGGTTCAATATAATGATTTGGACTATTGTAGTTGACCTCAAACAATATTGGTACGTACATCGGTCGAGCAATGCCTAGCATAATCTTGGAAATTAATATGTGTGAAGAAGGGAGGGCACAATAGAACACAGGTCGTAGTGCATACTTTCTCTTAATATCTGAGACAGTTTACACTTTGATAGACACGGATAGCACATTATTTTGTGAAGAATAACTTTCAAAGGGACATTGAAGTAAAATGGTATGTGGTAGTGATTTGTGAATTTTCATTGGTTAATTTTATAATAATAGATATTTCGGAAGTTATGCTAGATGTAATAGAAAACCGATATGAACACATAACCTATAGTATAATCTGAAGCCAAAAACGAAGAAAATCAATTAAAAAGTAATAACGAACATATATAGTTCAACATATAATAGTTCACATATCTTAAGTTTTTACAAATTGCGTGAGTATTAAGAGTTCGGCTATTCTCGAACTTTAATCTTCCTTACTTATTTATATCCTTCTTTAATTTCTTGGATGTTTAAAATAATTGGTTTTGTATTTGTGTGCATTTAATGGTCTGATCCTTTGCAATGAAAATATTACACATGCATTCAGTGACTACTATATATGTTAGGGTGGGTAAAAAAATAATATTTTTTCGCTTGCTACTCTGAGAAATAGGGTCTAGACATCTCTACGAAAATCTCTCCAGTTTTTCCGTAAACTTAATTACTTAAAAGTTATCAACAAATTTCTGTTCTTTTGATTTTTATAACCTAATTATCATTCAATGAATCATTTTGAATTGCAAAACTCATAGGTTTGTTGAAAAGTTACAGCTCAGTACCAATAAAAATAATTGTTTTTTTTACCCATCCTTATAATTATACATACGTAGTTCGACAAGTAATTCATAAGTATACTTCTTATATTTTAATTGACACACAATTTTCACATTAGAACATGTTTTAAAATTTTAAAAATAATTGAAAAATTCTTAAACTAATGTTTTATATACATATATAAAAAATTAACGTTTAATGGCCAACCACAAACTAACACCGCATTGTAGACAATGGCAGCCACCAAGCGCAATGCCGGATTAACATCAGCCGTACCACGAGCCACTTTGAATGACGAAGAACTGGTAGGTATATATAAAATTTTTCTTGTTAATAGTTTAATAACAAAGAAATATATAAAAAATTATTGCAAAATATGTTAATAACGCTGTTCCCACCCTTGATATTGATTTGAGTAGGAACGGAAATGCTTAGTCTTGCCATAAATTTTGTTAAAAAGTTTTCAATGCATGCAGCGAAAGGAAATTCTCAGAAAAAGGTGTCATGATTTTTTATTGCAATTTGTATGCAGTGTCATCAGTTCAGAGTTTGCTTATATCTATTAATAGTGGAGTGGGGCGCTAAAGAAAATCATAACATATCAACAGAAGTGTGGAAAAAGCGCAAGTGAATTTTACGAGCTCACCAAAAAAATTAATTATTTTTCCTAAGCGTCTACAGTTGTTGGCAGAAATACACTCGTGGCCGGTAATTTTAGCTAATATTTTATTTAGAAATAAGTTAATGACATGTTATTAACTAATAATATTGAAAAAAAGAAAAACACATTCAGCTATAGATAAATCAATTGAAATATAGTGAGCTTTACAAAATGAGCTCGAAGTGTAAGAGACTGACATCCGATGAAAAAATTGTAATTTAATCTCATTTACACTATAATTGAAATTAATATATTATTTTCTTTTCTTTTAATTGAAACACGAAATTTAGTTGGTGTATTAGTTTAAAAACAATAAAATCGGCTGCTTTTGTATAAGCACAGAAAAACTAATTTGTATTTTACTCATTAAACGTAATACATTTAAAACTGTAATTATAATTAGATAATATAATTTAGTTTACTTATGCTTAATAAAAAAATAAAGAAACTTTTCCGAAAAAAATTGAAGAAAGTATAATAGTAAGGTTTGCGTGGCCACGAGTGTAGAAGTAGTTTCCCTCGCGTGTTTCGAACTAATTTAGCCACTTTTGGAAAACAGGAAATAATGTCAAGGGAAATGAATATATCGACGTCATTAATGTCAAGACTTATCCGGGATGTTCTCCACATGAAATCCTATCGTCCACTACCTTCTGACAATGCTCTTGAAGAAAATTAGTATCAGCAGATACAAGCTGCGTCTTCAGTGGCACATGGTACTTTTTACAGATAAAAAAATGTTGACTGTTGAAAATGTTTTTAATAAACAGAACAAACTACTCAAAAACTGCCAAAGATGTAAAATAAATTAGGGAGATTCTCTTGTTCTTGCAAAACCCTTGCACGGTGCACGAATTGCAGAATTTTCCTCTTGATGCAACGGCGCAGCAAGAAACACACGCAGAAAATTATTTGCAATGGCTGTAAAATATATCCGATCAAAACCCATGTTTATTTTCGTGCAATGACACGTAAAAATATAATTGCAACCCTGTTTTAGCTGTCATTTAACATAAAGACATATTTCGCCGTTAAATTGTTGAGGAAGGTACGTTTTAAATACATTTTATAATTTCTACTTACATTATACATACATTTTGTTACATATTTTTGTTAAGAATGAATGCAAAAGGTGCGCTAATTCACAATAGTCATGCTCAATAGTCATTCTCAATAAATTGACCGAATCAGCCATTCATATAGGGTGCTCTATTGGCTTTGCATGATTCGGTATAGGATTTTTGCATCGTGCTATCTTTCAAGAGCAAGAGAATCCTCCTAATAAGTTGTTCCATGGGTTCAACGTGCTCACCATTCAGATGCTGGAATGTTTTGGTGGCAGTCTCCTGTAAATGCATTTCTCCTTTTCACTTTGGTGAAAAAAAGTTAAAAGCAGGGCAAAAGTGTACCAAAGGGATATTTTAGAATGCGTGGGTAAGGGATCGTCTCAGTGTGACCCTTCGAAAAATACTTATTTTCGCAATTTTTTTTTATGTTGAAATTAACAAATCGGTCTGTTTTTTTCTAAATAAACACATTTATGACTAATACAAAATGCTTTTTTTTTATGTTCATTAATTGGGCGTATAAAAGTGAAATAAATTGTAGAAATTACACGTAAAAAAGGTCATAGATATTCATGATTGCGCGTGTGAAGTGTTTTTTGTTTTTTTTTTTGAAATTTGACAAAATGGCGGCGGTTTGAACAAAAATTATCGAATTAAAATTTATCTAAGGAATTCTTATTTAAAGTATAGTTTTGGTGTAATTCAAGGATATATGCTTCAATATTAAGAAACTCCGATTGAATATAGAATCTTTAACTCATCTCACTTGATTATGAATATATTTTTGTACTGACGGTATATTCTTCTTAATCTTGAACAAGACACTGACTCTAAAAGTTCACATAAATATCGACTATGACAACGTTTATTTTTAAAAATCTGTCGATTTTAAATAGAGTTAGAGTTAATAGCTTTGAAACAGAACAACATTAACAGATTTGTTAAAATTAGCTTATATTTTAGAATTATAATTTGTAATTAAGAGATATAGTTTACTAATTGACGTTTGTCCAACATTAGAAAATGCACGTTTACAAAAAGGCTCTACAAGCGCTTATTTATCCAATTTCGTCAACAACCCCACATAATTTCGTACTGTGGACTGCAACATCGCCAACTTACTGTTACGAATGTGAAGGATTGCTATGGGGCATCGCACGACAGGGAGTTCGGTGTACAGAATGTGGCGTGAAATGCCATGAAAAATGCAAGGATCTTTTAAACGCTGACTGCCTGCAAAGTACGTATATTTTCTAAAAATATTATACATAGACATATAATATTTGAAGTTATGGAAGAAATATGTGTTTATAAATATGAGCTATATTCATTAATATACTCCAACATATAATATAGTATACATACATATGTATGTTAGTTTAAACTGTGTCATAAAAAACTATGAACAGAAAATGTTAAACTCGTGTCGTTTTTCATGTGAAGGGTTGTTTTTTTTAGACATGTGGCTTTCAATGAGATAATACTTTTTTCAGTGTTGGTCTTGTTAACAACTGTTACTCATTTTGGTTTGCCATTTCAATGAACACACTCATTACGGAACAAGTTTGCAAATCGTGCAAATTTATTACCAAAATAATGGTTTGGCCCGGGCGACGTATCGTGTGTTGCGTCCTATATTCGATAAAGCTCATGTTTTGTTGAACGCATTTGGAGAGATTATAATTTCATTCTCGAAAAGTTACTGTTTGGTCTCCTCTATGGACAGAGGTTGTTTTCTTTAAAAATGAAGCCTGCCATAATGTTACAGTGAATGTTTAATGTGTGAAGATACCTTTGAAATCAATTTATTGAGAGAGACTTTTGGTGAGCGTATTATCCCGCGCCGGGCGTGTAACGTGACCTCCAAGATCGATTTAACACTGTGGACTACTTTTTGTGCAGTTGTGTCTAGTCGCTTGTCTACGCAGATAACCCCGTGGCGACTTACGCCTTGAAAAAGATATGCGGCGCGTTATTGCTGACATAAGGCCCCAATTGCTGCAAGAGGTGGTAGAAAATTTAGCCTCTCGGCTGGATTTTATTTAATTGCCTAAACTAATTTTTAAAACATATCTTTAAATAAAGCTAAATACTTTGGCATAACTCATTATGTCCTTCTGTATTATCAGGCTGCAAACCCGTTACACTGATTGTTGAGGCAAATAAATTATTCCCCTAAAGGCGTATTAACTAAAAGGCATTACTTCATAACATGTAAAAATTTCTAAACTTTTTAATATTTCAACTACTTTATTGTAAGATGTTTTTTGTCGTTTTTTCAAGCGGGCTAAATAAAAAACAAAATCCCAGTTCATTTACGGAATAAAAACAAATAAAAAGTCTTAAAAAATAAAATATTCTATGGTTTTGAGGAATCATTTTGTGAAATCATGTAAAAAAGTTGTAAAAATCATCTCACACCATCCAAGGTTTGATTTTAACTACGAATAACTTTTGACTTAGTGGAAAATTCTATTGGAATTTCGTACAAATATACATTTTTATTTGACAATATTTGGTTCAAATATATTAAACGTCCAAACAAAATAAGAAAATAGACCGGTGTTATTTATTTGGAAAATCAAAAATCAGAATGCCTTACTGTTAATATTTGTATAAGAAGTTCACACTTAGCCAGAAAATCTGACGATATTTAAGGAAAAAATAAAACTTTGTTTTGGCCAATCTAAATGCACATTTTTAAATACGACCATTCAACATGTTTTCAACACAAACATTTTGCCTTTTCTGCACCTTGACTACCACTGATTGACTAACTTGCAGTTTCTCAGCAATAGTGCATGTCGAACAGCCACTCTTAGTCAGGGAAACAATACTATTTTCTTTATCTGGAGACAGCTTCTTCATTTTTCAAGACAAGTTAGAGACTAATTTCCAAATTCAATAAATTGACTGCAAACTATGCCGTTTATGCCTAATTGTTACAATTAAACTAGATATTCAAGAAAAAAAGTTTTTGTCATTTAATTCATTCGGTTTTTTTATACGCACTCAAACATGAAAACGTTGATCGTGGAATCACTTTTGCTCCCCACTGTATGTGATACGTTTTAAATTTCGTTCAGAATCTCAAATACAGACGAATAAAAAACATCGCCTTAAAAATCGCTGGTTCGAACACGGTTTTAGACCCATTATACGTTGAACATTTCCGCATATGCGATTTTTCCTTTTTTAGACTCCCCTAAATCTCGTGGGTTCTGTAGTGTGTTGGATGATGCGTTGTGGATTCGGTTTTATGTGGATCGATGTGTGGTGTTCTCGAGAATGGGTCATATTAGTGTGGTGCGTTGAAACATTCAGTGTTGTAAAATGTTGGAATTTGAGGAGGAGGCGTAACTCATTTAGACAATACCTATGTTATTAATAGTGTAATATAATAATATATATGCATTTAGAATCGTCCAAGCATATCAGCGCAAAAAACGATATCTCAGAAAAGTCTCTTTTATATTTTTACTTTTTTAAAAAAAAAGGAGCCGCTGAAAAAAGCTCAAAGCATGGAGCTGAAGATAAGGCCAATTCAATTATAACAGCTATGAAGGATCGCATGAAGCAGCGTGAACGTGAAAAGCCTGAAATTTTCGAATTAATCCGGTAAGCTCCATAGGTTTAAGTTATAAAATTATTTGAATATAGTGCCGTTCAAAGAAAAGGCGAAAAATAACTCATAGTTATATATATACATATCTATATATATATGTATATATGTTATTGCGTCGCTCGTCCGCCATTTGAAAAAAGTAGTTGCAATGCAATTGTGACCATATATTTTTTAGTATATATGACATGTTGTAACTTCTAATATGGCACAATACGATATACTAAAAACAGTGTGTAATTTACAAAACACCGTCATCTTTTAAAATCTTATAGATAATTATACCCCTTTGATATACACTTGTGCTCACACAATTAAGCCACATAAACGTTATGGTGTACAAATTCATAAAAGTTGAA